CCGAGCTTGGAACGCTCCATAAGCTCTGGCAGGCATGAATTAGCCCGAGCACCCGAGGTAAGGAAGAGAATGCGACGCCTGAACTACCCGATGCATTTTCGGTATAGATGTGAGAGTGATGCTGGAGAGAGAGTGTGTGAGAATGGTAGGTAGCTACATAGCGTGCAGACGTAAGAAAAGCCATCATTGCCGCCCAGGTATTCACGCGGGAAACAATCCATTGACCGAGCGTCCATGGCGATGATCCAACTGCGATGGACGACAACCCCCCACCAAACTGTAATCTTTCTGACAGCCAATGAATCCGGACGAACGGAGGCACTGCAACCCTACCCAAGAGAAGCAAAAAAGAGCAGAAGTCAAATGGACAGAGCCAGACAGACAGGCCGAGCATGACATTCCATGGGTCACCATCCCACATGCTGCAGCCCGGTGTGCCGGTGAAGGTCGAGCTTCTTGGGGGGGCGTCCACTAGCGCCGTAATGAAATTACCAACTGCGCTCTGGACTGGAGCCACTTTACTATGGCGATAGCTTACCGTCCAGGGCCCAGCGGTGTAATCTGATTACAGTACCGCCTGCCAATCGTGCCGCAGCGTCATCGCCCGTCCGGGATCCCCTCCTCCGCCTTGCGCTGACCTGCCCCTCCGCTCCTCTGCTTTGGCTTGCCGGGCTGCCGCTGGATGAGGGTCATCATCCCCAAGTACTTCTATGCCCTCCTCTCCTCCTCCCTCCCCCTCTTCTTCCTCCCAACTTTCTCATCTCATTCCTCTCTCTTCCTCTCCTCACGCTCATCATCCTCTTGAGGTCCTTCCCCTCCTCCTCATCCTCCTTTTTCCGTCGGGTAAGTCGCCGGATCCCTCCAATTGAGTTCCCTAATCCTCCCACGATTTCCCCGCGCTCTCCCACGCTTTCCCGTTCCGAAACCGGGCCTTTTTCTTCCCCGGAAGCACCTTCTCCCCAGGTGACTCACGCCAACGTATCACTGCTCCGTTTTCTGGCTTGCTTTTTTTTTCTTCCGAGCATCATTGGATCATTCGGCTAACTCGTATACTATATTTCCCTTGATCCCCAGCTCCCTGTGCCTTCTCTCTTTCATCTAGATCTCCTCTGAATAGCTCTCCATCTTCCCTTCCTATACTCTAGCTCCCCACCCTTATCCATCCTTATCAACAAACACACACACCCCGCCCGCCATGGCTGCTCCCCGTCAGCCCGAGGAGGCGGTCGATGACACCGAGTTCATCGATGACCACCATGACCAGCACAGGGACTCTGTCCACACCCGTCTGCGTGCCAATTCGGCCATCATGCAGTTCCAGAAGATCCTTGTTGCCAACCGTGGTGAAATCCCCATTCGTATCTTCCGGACGGCCCACGAGCTGTCCCTGCAGACTGTCGCCGTCTACTCCCACGAGGACCGTCTCTCCATGCACCGTCAGAAGGCCGATGAGGCCTACATGATTGGCAAGCGCGGTCAATATACACCGGTCGGGGCCTACTTGGCCATTGATGAGATCGTCAAGATCGCTCTTGAGCATGGTGTGCACCTGATCCACCCGGGTTATGGCTTCCTGTCCGAGAACGCCGAGTTTGCCCGCAAGGTGGAGCAGAACGGCATGGTTTTCGTCGGCCCTACCCCCCAGACCATTGAGAGCCTTGGTGACAAGGTCTCCGCCCGTCAGCTGGCTATCCGCTGCGACGTGCCCGTCGTGCCCGGTACCCCGGGCCCTGTCGAGCGCTACGAGGAGGTCAAGGCCTTCACCGACACCTACGGCTTCCCCATCATTATCAAGGCCGCCTTCGGTGGTGGTGGTCGTGGTATGCGTGTCGTCCGCGACCAGGCCGAACTGCGTGACTCCTTCGAGCGTGCCACCTCCGAGGCCCGCTCTGCCTTTGGCAACGGCACCGTCTTCGTTGAACGTTTCCTCGACCGCCCCAAGCACATTGAAGTCCAGCTGCTGGGTGACAACCACGGCAACGTCGTCCACCTGTTCGAGCGTGACTGCTCCGTCCAGCGTCGTCACCAGAAGGTCGTTGAGATTGCCCCGGCCAAGGATCTGCCTGCCGATGTCCGTGACCGCATCCTGGCTGATGCCGTCAAGCTGGCCAAGTCGGTCAACTACCGCAACGCCGGTACTGCAGAGTTCCTGGTCGACCAGCAGAACCGCTACTACTTCATTGAGATCAACCCCCGTATCCAGGTCGAGCACACTATCACCGAAGAGATCACGGGCATTGATATCGTTGCTGCTCAGATCCAGATTGCGGCTGGTGCTACCCTGGAACAGCTGGGCCTGACTCAGGACCGCATCTCCACTCGTGGATTCGCTATTCAGTGCCGTATCACCACCGAGGACCCCTCCAAGGGCTTCTCCCCCGACACCGGTAAGATCGAGGTCTACCGCTCTGCCGGTGGTAACGGTGTCCGTCTGGATGGTGGAAACGGTTTCGCCGGTGCCATCATCACCCCTCACTACGACTCCATGCTGGTCAAGTGTACCTGCCGTGGTTCCACCTACGAGATCGCCCGCCGCAAGGTCGTTCGTGCCTTGGTCGAGTTCCGTATCCGTGGTGTCAAGACCAACATTCCTTTCCTCACTTCTCTTCTGAGTCACCCTGTCTTCGTCGACGGTACTTGCTGGACCACGTTCATTGATGACACTCCCGAGCTGTTCGCCCTCGTCGGCAGCCAGAACCGTGCCCAGAAGCTGCTGGCTTACCTGGGTGATGTGGCTGTCAACGGCAGCAGCATCAAGGGCCAGATCGGCGAGCCCAAGCTCAAGGGCGATATCATCAAGCCCATCCTGCATGACGCTGCCGGCAAGCCCCTCGACGTCTCTGTCCCCGCTACCAAGGGATGGAAGCAGATCTTGGACAGCGAGGGTCCCGAGGCTTTCGCCCGCGCTGTGCGTGCCAACAAGGGCTGCTTGATCATGGATACTACCTGGCGTGACGCCCATCAGTCGCTGCTGGCCACTCGTGTGCGTACCATTGACCTCCTGAACATCGCCCACGAGACTAGCCACGCCCTCGCCAACGCCTACAGTTTGGAATGCTGGGGTGGTGCCACCTTCGATGTCGCCATGCGCTTCCTGTACGAGGACCCCTGGGACCGTCTTCGCAAGCTGCGCAAGGCCGTTCCCAACATCCCCTTCCAGATGTTGCTCCGTGGTGCCAACGGTGTTGCCTACTCTTCCCTCCCCGACAACGCCATCTACCACTTCTGTAAGCAGGCCAAGAAGTGCGGTGTTGACATCTTCCGTGTCTTCGATGCTCTCAACGACGTGGACCAGCTCGAGGTCGGTATTAAGGCTGTTCACGCTGCTGAGGGTGTTGTTGAGGCTACTATTTGCTACAGTGGTGACATGCTCAACCCCAGCAAGAAGTACAACCTGCCTTACTACCTCGACCTTGTCGACAAGGTGGTCCAGTTCAAGCCCCACGTCTTGGGTATCAAGGACATGGCTGGTGTGCTGAAGCCCCAGGCTGCTCGTCTGCTGATCGGCTCCATCCGCGAGCGCTACCCCGACCTTCCCATCCACGTTCACACCCACGACTCCGCTGGTACCGGTGTGGCTTCTATGATTGCTTGCGCCCAGGCCGGTGCTGATGCTGTTGATGCTGCCACGGACAGTCTTTCCGGCATGACCTCCCAGCCCAGCATTGGTGCTATCCTCGCTTCCCTCGAGGGAACCGAGCACGACCCTGGCCTCAACTCGTCCCAGGTGCGCGCTCTTGACACCTACTGGGCCCAGCTGCGTCTCCTGTACTCGCCCTTCGAGGCGGGTCTGACCGGTCCCGACCCCGAGGTCTACGAGCACGAGATCCCCGGTGGTCAGTTGACCAACCTGATCTTCCAGGCCAGCCAGCTTGGTCTGGGCCAGCAGTGGGCTGAGACGAAGAAGGCCTACGAGTCTGCCAACGATCTTTTGGGCGATGTTGTCAAGGTCACTCCCACTTCCAAGGTGGTTGGTGACCTGGCTCAGTTCATGGTCTCGAACAAGTTGACCGCTGAAGATGTGATTGCCCGCGCCGGCGAGCTTGACTTCCCCGGTTCCGTGCTGGAATTCCTCGAGGGTCTCATGGGCCAGCCCTACGGTGGATTCCCCGAGCCTCTGCGCTCTCGCGCTCTGCGTGACCGTCGCAAGCTCGACAAGCGCCCTGGTCTGTACCTTGAGCCCCTTGACCTGGCCAAGATCAAGGCCCAGATCCGGGAGAACTATGGCGCAGCCACCGAGTACGACGTGGCCAGCTATGCCATGTACCCCAAGGTCTTCGAGGATTACAAGAAGTTCGTCGCCAAGTTTGGTGATCTGTCCGTCCTGCCCACGCGTTACTTCTTGGCCAAGCCCGAGATCGGCGAGGAATTCCACGTCGAGCTGGAGAAGGGTAAGGTGCTGATCCTGAAGTTGTTGGCCATCGGTCCCCTCTCCGAGCAGACCGGTCAGCGCGAGGTCTTCTACGAAGTCAACGGTGAGGTTCGCCAGGTTAGTGTGGACGACAAGAAGGCGTCCGTCGAGAACACTGCCCGCCCCAAGGCCGAGCTGGGTGACAGCAGCCAGGTCGGTGCTCCTATGAGCGGTGTGGTTGTCGAGATTCGTGTCCACGACGGCTTGGAAGTCAAGAAGGGTGACCCCATTGCCGTTCTGAGCGCCATGAAGATGGTATGTGCAACCCTAGAACTATTCATCAGAAGTCAAGATCGGCCGCTAACATATAATAGGAAATGGTTATCTCTGCTCCCCACAGTGGCAAGGTCTCCAGCTTGCTGGTCAAGGAAGGTGACTCGGTGGATGGCCAGGATCTCGTGTGCAAGATCGTCAAGGCCTAGAAGAGTAACACCGTTATGACGGCAATGTTTGAAAAGCTAATGTCGATGTTGATGTCCTTGCAACCGGCCTATTTTTCCTCACGCTGAACCAGGACACTATGCCAGTATTCTTTTTTAGATTAGAGCGTCTGTTATGTTTATGAAATATTTTGGGTTGGGATTGGGTTATTTCCATATTTATGCCACAGCTTATTTACGATCAATGGTCGTCAGGGACATACTATGTCGACCATATGAATGACAAGTGATTCTAAAGCATCCTTCCAGATATTCGTAGTCTCTAGTAGATGCAGCATATATAGACATCATGTGATATATACAGGATCAAGGCCCTCTCCATACTGAATCCCTTCCTTTAGAGCTTCGCAGCAGAAGCCTCCGGTTCTCCCACCTCCCGCAACGCCTTCCAGACGCGCATCGCCTCATCCCAAAGCGCAGTATCCTGTACAATCTCAACCGATCCATCAGGCTTCAAAGTCCTCATCTCCCGATGATGCGTCGTACCCCACTTCACATCCTCCCCATGAACAAACCTAATAAACGGATCAATCAAAGCCCGCCGAATAACACCTTTCTCCTCCGGCTCCAACACATGCCCATTCCCCCAGAACCAAATCGGATAATCACTCGAATGCGTAACCTCCCAGTCGGGCGGAATATTGGCATCCACACACTTGGCCCGCCACTCAATCCGATACCGATAAAGCAAATGTCCCGCCCCGCCACTAGCAAGAGCATGAATCAGCCCGCGCTGCATATCATGCACCTGCATCTTGGCATACACCCGCCCGAAGGCATCATTGTCCCAGTTCTCGCAGCACGATGGTAACTTGCCGTCCGGGTAGTGAAGCTTCATGAGCGTGTCCACGACGTGGCGCGGATAATCTGCGAGAAGTCTGGAATGGAGAGCGGAGAGACTGTCGGCTTGTGGTGGGAACCAGGCGGCGTAGAGGTGTCGCTCGTCGCGGCATTCGCCGAGCATGATGCGAATGTTGCGTGCGGAGAGGGTGCGCGCGAAGGCCCCGCTGTCTAGGGATTTGAAGAGGGTGGGTTGGATGAAGGCTGAGTCGGAGGTCGGGCGGTATTGGTTTAGTTGCACGCTCATGGCGGCGTCGAGGAGGGTTTGGGAGGGGAGGGACCTCAGATGGGAGATCTTTTCGGCCCAGGGGAGGGTGCTGGGAATGTTTAGGGCTGAGAGGAGTTGATCGAATTGTTCTTGGGCGGAGGCTGGAGACTTGGGCTGCACGGCGGCGGCGTTGGACCAGATGCAGGCTTGTTTGATTATTGCTTGGGAGGCGGGGAATTGGAGGTCGTAGGCCAGTTGGTAGAATGTTGAGTAGGCGCCTGGTTAGGTTAGTTTTGTGGCTTCGCATATGGGGAGAGAGGGGTCTAGGCATCTCACCGGCTGAGTATCCGGAGACGGTGATTTGGGATGGGTTGCCGCCGAAGAGGCTGATGTTGTCCCTCGTCCATTCTAGGGCTAGACGCTGGTCCCAGAAGCCGTGGTTGCCTGCTGTTTCGCCTACGGAGGCGGCGTCCTTCTCGATCTCCGAGGAGTATAAGAAACCGAAGACGTTCAGCCGGTAGGCTGGAAGGACGACAACGGCGTTGAGTCCAGCATCGCCTAGTAGGGCTGCGGCCGAGAATCCGTTCGGGTGGCCGAATTGTAGCCAGCCTCCGTCTAAGATATGAAATCATCAGTATCAGATCAGGGAATGGGTTGTAGGCACTTTCAGAGGGGCGCGCATACGGATGAAGAAAAGAACCGGCCAGCCTATAGGAACATTTTATTAGCTTCAGCTGATATGTCAAGGACCACGATACTTACCTTCCTTGGGGGGCTCTCCCAGCGGTACCCACACGCTGGCTTCAAAGCAGTCCTCTGTGAACCCCTTCGTGTACGGACGACCCATGAAGCTGGGCTGCGGACAGACGGCAGCGTCTTGGTCGCATGGGGCGGGTTGGTCTTTGGTGCCGTAGGAATAGGACTGGGGGAGCTTCTGTGCCCGGCGCCATCTTTCAGGAGGAGGAAGGGCATATCGGACAGATCCGAAGTAGTGACATAGGGGCTGGTTAGTTGCTTTGGAGTGCAGAGTGGTGCCCTGAATGTAGCCACGATGGGCCAGGGACTTCAGGTAGGGATGACCAAGTGTCTCCAGAAGTGCCATTGTGGGTTGGGAGAATGAATATATATATGGCGAGCCGTCTTAGAGCTCTTGTGGTATAATAGAGAGTGAGAAATGGTCGAAGGCTATGGCACACGAGGTTCCATGGATAGATATAGCCCCAGAAAGGGCCGTTCTGACCGACGGCATCTCCGCACGAGGGGGAGGGCGCTCGCGTCTTTAGCGCATGATAAGGGTCCCGATGGCCGAAATCTTGGCGGGTGGTGGAGACTCGGGGGAAGAATTGACGAATCCTATGATAACTGATATGCTTGCTAGATCGTCGGCAAATATAGCCTATAGAACGATGAGATATAGCGGAAATGTAAGGGGGAAACGCGGACGCTGAACCATGATAAACGCTCAAGATGGGCGAGGCATATCAAAGCGGCCCGCGGGGAAGCCGAATTCGTTCCGCTTCGGCCCCAGATTTGGATGCCGCTCGTTGCCTGAGGCATTAAATGCATGGGTCGGCAGTAGGATGAAGTGATGGCCTGTTCCTCGGCCATGTCTGCCTGTAACTCACACTTTTCCTCTCGCTTCTGATGCATGTGTACGCTGTACGCAAATGCTAAGCCAGTGTCTATGATGATGTTTCATTTCAGGGTCCCAAGTCTGTGTGTCATACGGTTCAACACCTCCATTGTATGCTGCGCCATTTTCGAATAGATGACAGATGCCCATCAAATATATCCTCAGCTAGTTAGTTGCACATTACCCCGCTCATTGAAGATAAACAGTCTCTGGACACTGTGCAGATATTGATGCTTCACAGGAAGAGACAGACGGTACTTTTTCTCCCTGCGCAGTTTTACTCTTCGATCCCCGCATTTGGCAGAGCACCTGACGTCAAGCCATCATGGATGAATTCCATTGGCACACGACCAAATCTCATTTTTTTATTGGATTGTTTCCGCCTAAGAGAGCTGATTAATCCCAAATAACTTGTGATACTTTGGAAACTATCCGTGGATCGGCGTATACGATTTCCCAGAGATGATGAATCATGCTGTTGTCAAAGAAGCTTTTGCAATCCTAGGACCGGGGTCCCCAAGCCATTACTGCCCATTATTGGTTCATGGACGTACTTTTGCCCCCTCAGACCTATGGGCCTGCCTCTTGCTGCATCATCATACCCAGGGTCTGGTTCACAGCACTCGGAGGGTGGCTGACTTACCCCTCCCTTACTTTGGGAATCTCTTATAAGGAGCTGCTGTCGTCCCGAGCATTTGCTCTGATCGGTAAAAACAACTCCTGTATCGAGAACACACTGCAAATAAGCTAACCGGTAAGTTCAAGTCTTGATTTCGAGTTCGCCTTCTTCAATATCGATCAGCTGGATCCTGTTTCTTTGATTATCCGTCGTTTGAGATGACACTGGAGCCTTCCGGTTACATGATGAAAGAGCTATGTAACCATAGCCCGTGATCGATTTGGCTGCTATTCACCCGCGGTTGTTTGCCATACACATGCACCTGTTTAGTCCCTTTTCCTATGGATCACATCCTCACTTCAACTTACGAAGCACGCAGTTGATACTGCTCCTTCGATCTCATCGAGAACCAAGAAGTACAAGAAAGAGGAACCATGAGCAACAACCAACAGCCCCAGTCTCCCCGTCATTGGCATGGCACTGTCGGTGATCGCTACGAGCATCTCAATGTCTGGGTGCGAGGAGGTCCTCCTGAGACCTACCGCCGGCCTTCGATCCCTACCACCACCGCTGCCACTGCCACTTCCGACAGACGCGTATGTCTGAACAGTTTCTGTCATCATCCCAAGCACTTGACTTCAGCCTGATGATTGGCACCTTCACACTCCTAGCATCCACACTAACTAACCGTTCTCCTTATGAAGGGCTCTGATTCATCGGATATGTCTTCCAACTCTGCCAATCTGAGCAACAGCCCTCCCCCTAGCGTTGGGGATAGAAGACGCTCAACCGGCCATGGCGCATCCAGCCTATTTGAGAGTCTGACAAGTCAGAAGCGCAACTCTACTGACCAGACTCTCAATACACGCCGTGAAAGCTGGAACGAGCAGGGCCAGCAGGGCGGATTCTTCGCCAAGTGGTGGGATGGATACACGAGAGGAGGTAGTAAATAATCCCAACTAATTCCCTTCTTTGATGAATTGCTATGACATCGGAAATGTTGGACGCGAGGGGCCAGACCCCTCAGTGATTTATGCGAATATTGTTGTTATTTAGTCAAGTCAGGCGAGGTATAGCTATGCTATCTTGACGAAGTCATGTTGCATGTACGTATGATGACTACTGTAATAGTCAACAGACATAATTTGACTAGCGTTTGCTTGATAGCACATTTGAATCGTAAGGGATTAGTAGAATGCGGGGTTCTGCGGTCGCAAGATTCGCCAGCCCCAAACTATACATGCCAAAGTTGGTACGTAATTAGGACCTTGGACCCAAACCTAAGCTGTTTCACAGGGAATTTCCCTATCAAAAACTTGGTAGCATGCCTGTCGAGCGGCAATCAGTAGTACTAGTGCGGCCCGGGGTATTGGGCTGGACTCTACAAGCGCGGTCGGTCAATAGCCAGTTTGGCTGCTACGAGTCGGTCGGCTTATCTACTCAAAGAGTTTTCAAAGATACCACTACGAGGCCGAGACTGAGCACAGAAACAGGGTGTTGAGACCCATGTTTCTCAGGCATCAGTCCTGGGGTAGCAGAGAAATGCTAGAAGCACATCTCGCAAAAGAAAACACTCAATCTCAGAGAGACTGAGTTTCAGGCCAAATGCACACTATAGCACCACTGTGTGTTGAAAGTGGTACAAGTGGCAAAACACAGCAAAAGCATCATGGGAGACCTTTCATCAATGGTTATGCGGAAATCATCACCCTTCGTGAAGCCTTCATTGAGAAAAGTGGATGCGTATGAAAAAATTTGGGAATTTGATATCTCTAACACGCCTAACCTCATGCCGTGGTAGAAAAGCCATATTTCAGAGCAGAGCGATAATGATTTTCAAGAACGCCTGCCTCCTTTTCTGACCATTTTTTGATCGATTCATCATAAACACAACCCCGGAGCTTTCCCTCCTGAAGACCCCGTGGATGAAGGCATTTACCGGACGATACCGTCGAAGCGGTTCTTGAACCACTTGATGGTCTCGTTCTGGGTGATACGGTGCTGGGAGCCGATACGGGCCTTGCAGCGGCGGCGCTTGGCGACACGCTCACCAGGGCGGGTCCTAGTGATTCCGAGTCAGTTCCTGATGCTTAAATGTTGTCCTGCTCGACCTGGATCGACACCGATGGATCTGTCGAAATAGGACTGCGTAGAGGTTGGAGTGCACTCACATGCAGCAGTAGAAGTCCATGCCGTAGATACCGATACCGGGGTCGTACTTGATACCCAGATCGATGTGCTCGGAGATACCGAAACCGAAGTTACCGGTCTCAGAGAAGTTGCGCTTGCGGAGCTCGTACTCCTTGACCTTAAGACCACGCTCAAGGATCTCCTCGGCCTTGGGGCCACGGACGGTAACGTGGACGGAGATCTTCTCGTTACGACGGATACCGAAGGTACGGACGGTGTAACGGGCCTTGCCTAAACGTTGAAAAAATCATCCCATCAGCCATCCATTCCATGTCACAGTTGTCATATCATCCTTCCTCGGCTGCTTCGTATTCGAAATTCTCGGATTCATCGGGTTCGGGCGTTCTTACTGTAGACCGGAGTCTGACCGCTCAGCTGCTCGAGCACCTTAGCAGCGCGAGTAAGTCTGTCACCAGACTCGCCGACGGAGATGTTGAGCACGAGCTTCTGGATGCGCAGCTCGCGCATAGGGTTGGCGGACTTGTCCTTGGATTCCGACTGCATGGCGACAAAAATGTTAGAAGAAATTTGTTTATAAAATTTTCGGAGTCTCGAGAATCGGGTTTATATCAATGCTGAAAAGTGTATTGGCGATGGGCAACATACCATGGCGACTGCTTTTGGCGTGAACTGGTCGACTGGTTGGTTGGAAGAAACTCAAGGATCGAAAAGTGTGTAAAAGGGAAATGTGTGGGTTGAAAGTGGGAAGCGAGAGCCCTTAGTGGCTTGGCGCGGTCGACTGGCGCCAAGCCGCAGAGCCGCGCCTCATGGACCTCCGACCCGTAGCAAGTCGAGCTGGTGCCGCTTGGAGAAAGTGTTGCAGACCTCGACCGACCTTCACTCCGAGCGCGACAGCTCAGTAAGGACAAAGTGACGATTAAGTAGAAGAATACCCTTCTACCATCTCACAAAACAATTCTTTGGTTTTACTCAAGTCGCACTCGTGCGCATTCATAGCCCAACATGGCGGCTAATAAGCAGGGCAAGATGGTGAGTTGATCGGATCCTTCCCTTTGCTGTTGATATCAGCTTGTATACCTATGTCCGCGTGGCTAACTCATTCTTTTCATTCTGATTAGCAAAACCTCGTAAGTCACTGACGTTACATGTTTTACTCGCGCGTAAAACCTGACATTATTCTCAGATCAACTACCGGATGAGAGTCACCCTCAATGATGGCCGACAGATGACGGGACAGATGCTCGCTTTCGATAAGGTATGTATCCCCGGGCCATTCAGTGGCCATCGGATAATACTTGTGGTATGCTGGTCGCTGACGCAGTAATATAGCACATGAACCTTGTCCTCGCCGATACAGAAGAGTTCCGTCGCGTCAAGCGCAAGTCCAAGCCCGCCGCCGGTTCGACCAACGCACCTCTTGTCGAAGCCGAAGAAAAGCGCACCCTGGGTCTTACCATTGTTCGCGGTACACATGTCGTCTCTTGCTCCGTTGATGGACCTCCTCCCGCCGATCCCTCTGCCCGACTTGGTACTGCTGGCCCTGGTGCAGCTGCCGCAGCTGCCACTCTCGCAGCTGGCCCTGGAATCAGCAAACCCGCTGGACGTGGTCTGCCGGTCGGTCTGGGAGGCCCTGCTGCGGGTGTTGGTGGCCCTCCCCCGCCGCCCGGCGGTTTCCCTGGTTTCCCTCCTGGTGGTGCTTTCCCTGGAGTTCCCCCTCCGGGCTTCGCGGGTCGTGGTGGTGCCCCTGGTGGACCTCGTAAGTTTGCACTTTCGAGCTCAATGGTTGAACATGGTTACTGACATAAGCTATCAGCTGGCTTCGCTCCTCCCCCGGGATTCGCGCCTCAAGGTGCTCCTCGTAAGTATCCTAAGATTGCGCGTTATGGTTCTTGAGCTAACTGAGGCTGTTGTAGCGGGTGCTTTCCAACCCCCACCGGGATTCCAGCCCCCGGGACAGGGACGCGGATTCCCTCCACCCGGCTTTGGTGGACGGTGATTTGATAGTATGTGCAGCAGCATGATGGCTTGCAACCTGGCCATGACACCGGCATGGCAGATACTTCGAACTACGAATCAAGCGAACAATATTCACTCCCCATTAGTCGCCTACTTGACGAACCTCAGACGAATAGGCATAGCACCCCGAGTTTTACCAGGCAAAGGCGTTGCGGCGTGTGCGGATGCAGGGAATGCCCTGACAAAAGAAAAGGTCGACCGAAATAAGGATAGGACCGACAGAAGTAATGCTAGATGTATTTCGAGCACTCAATTGTACTAGTGAATCCTAATGAGGGTTTGAAGCCTTTAATTTCCTTGTTTCATGTAAGACTATACATCAATTCTACGGCGATTGGACAGCTGCAGGCGTAGATTCAGCCTAGTACGCAGTAAGCACCTAGCAGGTCCGATTTAGCCAACGACTTCGCAGGGATATAGTGCACGTGACCGTCTCCGGGTAACTCCGCCCGGCGCGGACTGCAGGTGACGGAGTGAGGAAAGCAAACCGCTCGGCCCTGCGTACTCACCTCTGATCACCTCTCCACTCCTCACTTCAATTCAAGCCTTCGAGTCGTCAAGATGGCCGCTGCAATTAAGGCAATCAATGCGAAGATCCGGTCTAACAAGGCCCTGGATTACTTCTGCTCTACCCGTACGTTCAAACTTCACCGTTACCCTCTCCGTGTTCCTGACCGAGATCGGCCGACAAGAATGCCTGCCGTAAGACATGTTCTGAAGGGGTTGTTGAGCAACTTCAATGACTCCTTTCAGCACACGTTATCGGTCACGAACACGAAGCTCTTTACTTAGCCAAATCTGGTTCATAAAAAGCAATTTCTCTTGGCTAACAATGATCTCAACTAGACTTTTGGGGCCCTGCCTCCAACTTCGGTATCCCCATTGCAGCGGTGATGGATACCCAGAAGGACCCTGAAATGTACGTCGCTACAATTACCTCCCCTCGCTCCGCGGAGTTTTCTTCCTATATATACACTGCACATCGAATCAAGCTTTGAGAGCTTATCGGGATAGCTCAGACGAACATGCCAGTACCCTAACCAATAATATGTTTGCTAAATGTCATTCTATCTACACAGTATCTCCGGCCAAATGACCGGTGCTCTCGTTGTCTACTCGGGAACTTTCATGCGCTACGCCCTTGCCGTCTCCCCCAAGAACTACCTCCTGTTCGCCTGCCACGCCGTCAACTTCTCCGCCCAGCTGACTCAAGGATACCGCTACCTGAACTACTGGAAGTACGTCACAAAACGACCCTTTATTCACACCCCCCATTGAGACAATGAAATGATAATGCTGACTTTCGCATCAACAGCTGGGGAGGCCGTGAAGCTCAGCTCGCCGAGGCCGCCAAGCAGGGCAAGGATGCCACCGAGGCTGGCGCTTAAACGACGTCATCTTCCTTTTCTCGACTTTATCGCCTCATTCCGCTTGCTGCGCGGCTTATGAATACCTCATACGTCTTTAGCAGCATTGCCTGCCTACCTGCCCATTTTAAGTAGACAATACCACAATATCATGAATCAAATCGCCGAATCAATGAGAGACCTGTACGTTGAGGGTTGATCCAGGTAAGATATGGGAAGGCACCAGCCACTTGTATTATTAATAGTGGCGCTGGGATTGGTAGTTTTGTTTGGTGGGGGGTTTTCTGCTGTTGACTATGAGATATCTTTGTATCTAGCAGCTGGGCATGCACGGGGTTTTCTGTATATAGGCTTTTGTTTTTGCGCATCAACAAGGTTTAGACATTGATGATCTGGTAGAATTTCGTTTAGTTGGCTTTATTCATGTGAGTAAGTATTAACTGTTTAAAGGGAAGATGGATAAGGTTACAATAGACATATACTGGCAATTTAATCTCTAGTCTATACCAAATACATTCGAGAATACAGCAATAATAAACAAGATTTAATCAAACAGGGGTTTAGCAATCAGACCAAGAAGTATAGGCCAATCCATCGAATGGACGATGGCCTCACATTGTAGCATCAATCATTCATATCCAGAGAGCCGATCCGAAGGAACGGGATAACAATCATGACATTTACACAATCTATGAGTCACAGTAGCCGGGGGCTTTGACGTCCGACCCGTTGATCCAGTTGTTGAGCGTCAGGGCGGTCGTATACAAACAGCTGAGGACTCCGAAAACGGAGAGTGCGATATCGGCAATCTGCTGTCGTCTCGATTGGGCACAGGCCTTGAGATGCAGTAGAGGCTGAGCAGAAGTTAGTAATCGATTAGGCTGACTAGACGAAGGTACTTGACTAGTTAACTTACCGGGTATACGTAAATCAGGGGAACACAGGCGAAACTTCCGACAAGCGAAACAAACTTGTCCAAGTCTTCTGCTCCGCCCCAAGCAATAAATGCACAGATCATGACAAGGAAGAAACGGAAGCAATTCTTCTTCCACTTGATACTGGGGTTGTACTTTCCGCTCCGAGTGAAAAGCTCGTTCTCCAAGATTCGAATGGCCGGGAAGAGCTGCAGTGGGGTACTGAGAAGAATCGCCAGAGAATACAGGAATTGCACAGCATTTACAAACTTGTCATCCTGAGGCATGTTGAGGATGACTACCGTCTTCGTTGCGGAACCATATGCCGCATAGCTGAACGCACCAGCGCTGAGGAAGATGATCGTGATTATGACCATCACCATTGCGAGGACACCGGGGAACTTTTGCGGGTGCTTCATTGATTCCTGAATGGGAATAATCAGACCGATGCCCTCATATGTGAAAATAGCCGTGCCGATGAAAAGTGTCCAGGTGGATGGATTGAAGGATATGATATCCGAAACACCGCCTTGGTTGGAGATAGTCAAGAAATCGTAATAGAAGAGGTAAACCAGTCCCATCATGATGAACAGGTCTGCAATGAGGGCAGTGAAACCGAGCTTGCTGATATCGCGGATCAATGAAAGAGGGAGGAAGATGACCAGCTGCAGCAGCACCATAAACTTGATGTCAATAAAAGATTTGCATTTGCTGACAGCCAGGACAAATGCTTGTAGGTTCTCGGCCGTGAAAACAATGTATGCCGAGACGAAGCCCAATTGACTCAACACAATGGAGCCGAGAATGATGCGCCTCATATGCTTTCCATAGAGCGCACCACCAATGTCACCAAAAGAACCATCAATCTTCAGCCGCGTATTAACCAGGAGGATGAAACAGTAAAAGCTGAGTAGTGATACACCAAGAAGTACCATGCTACTGAACAGCATGCCACCATTCAAGAAAGCTCTCGGCAAGAACAAGACTCCTGTACCAACGAAAGACTTGAGTAATAGCAAAGCTGCTCCGGTCCGCGTGTTGGTTCCCGTCCCACCGCGGGGCTTGCGCTTCCTTCGGCCAGCTGTGTCTGGCCTGAGAAGGGCTGAGTCTTCACCTGGTTCTCTGCCTTCTGCTTCATCATAAGTATCCGATGAGAAGTACTCATCAGGACCCAAGACCTCGTCATCCTCTTCAAGCTCTTCACCAGCAAAGTGACCGTATAGAGTCAGAAATTCCAGAAAGCTGCTTGTTGGAAGCTGGGGCTGAGCAGCAGAAGCCTGCGCACCCGAGCCATCCAGATCTCCAGGGAGGTTGGGGCCTACTGCCCGTCTTAGATAGTCTCTTCTGAAACCTCCTGGGACACGGATACTGTTGATGTTCGTGGTTTCATCCTCAGGTGCAGGTCGAGCATGACTGAAGCTCCTGCTGCGGTGGGGTTTCCGCAATGAGCTTCCAGCTTCTGCATCCTCGGCCCATCTGTACACCTGTCTCGTGATATCACCACCCTGGAGTTGCAGACTAGAGAACTCATCCTCGGCGTTACTTTGGGCACCCCCAGAAGAGTGAATATCCCGATTTTCGACCACATTCTGGGGTTGCACCAAATGTCTCTTGACAACTTCGGGATCCTCGTATGGGCCAGCTGAGTATATCGAACCCTCTCTCCCAGCCTTGTTATCGAAGGAACCGTAGTTCGACCTGACAGGCTGGTGCAGGAGGCCAGGCGAAGCAGTCCGCCTCGGAGGGGTACCCGCTCTCGGAGAAGGAGATCGGCCGAGGTAGTCCTGGAGCGCAGATGCAATCATGGATTGTCCGGGGCCGGGTAAGGATGACGGATTGTCGACTTTCCGGAGGTCTTGGTTGGTTGCTGCGGTTGGTTGAATCGGCAGCGGTACCTGTCTTGACGAATAGGAATTCGAGGGAGAAGGAATTGGTGATGCTAGACGGGCTATCGAGGCATGCCTATAAGAAGAAGAAACATCTCCTGCAGGTGATCCTGAGCGCATCGCGGACGTGGAGATCGGCGACGCTGAACGGTTACGCTGAGAGGATGAGCCCTCACCGTTGTCAGACATCCTGGAGGATGACATGTTGACAAGAAGCAAGATTGAATTTTCTCGGAGTACGAGAACTTGGTTAATTCCGAAAACAATTCGTACTATTTGAGTTTTCGGAGGCGAACCAGGATCATGGGGGAATGCCTACGAAGTAGGAAGGGCTGATAAGAGCGGAGAAGGAGAGTTGAGAGGATCGATAATGCGAGAGGCGCAAGTCGTTCACCGCAATGTATGCGGAGGGACTAGGCTTCCTGTTGTTTCCACGCACCCCAAAACACCCCGCGCCTTGTCGACCATGACAATCATGAACAAAGCTGAGGACGGGCCAACAAAGGAACGATAGAAGTGATGGAGAGACGAGGATGAGATAAGGGAGATCAGATGAGGCAGACTGCCAGACCCAGTGACCACTTTTGCATTGTTTGTTTGTCGCTCGGCACATGAGGTCATCGCCGACGATCTGAACTCGGACTTCGCGTCTCCAATATCCTTTGTTCGTTACACGGTAACTCAACGTGCATGGCCCTGAGAGGTCCTTGCTGGTTTGCATCACAGTAGCTCTTACTGTGCTTGCAGGCAAATTAGTCTTACCCGGTCTTAGCACCATCTCATTGTCCTTGCGCCACCGATTCGTCCGCTTTCAATTGTGTCATTGCTGTATGAGGGAGGAGAAAAGCTCCTACAACCAGGAGCGGAGGCCCTATATCCATGACTGACGGACGGGCTGACAGTGCCTCGGAGTCTCTATCCCGAAGGAGACCCAATTTCTCCACGCGGGCCGCTGAAGAAGACGTTTCTAGGTTGGATCCGAGCGAATCTGCCAATGCATCTCCCGAAGAAAGTAGCAAGTTCCTCCACGGGAGGATGAATTCCTCCTCACATTCGCACGAGCCTCCGCACTTCCATCACCGCTCATCCGAAAGCCGACAACAATCCCAACAGAACGTCATAGATAATGTTGCTCGTTGGTGGAGTGGGCAGGGGAGCGACGGGAAGCATGAACTCCCTAGGGAGAGATTAAATGCCAATCGCTCGCCCCCTGGGCCCTTCAGAGAGGGTCAGAAGGAGAGAGATAGCCAGAAAGACCGTACGCTCGACAATCCTGATAAGCTTGGGACATTTTCTGGCGTCTTTGTGCCGACCACCTTGAACGTCCTTAGTATCCTGATGTTCCTTCGCTTTGGCTTCATCCTTGGCCAAGCTGGGTTATTAGGGATGTTAGGTATGGCGCCCTTCAATCATCACCCACACAAGCCAATTGGGGTCTGACGGAAAGTAGGTTTACTGGTCGCTTCGTACACGATCAATCTCGTAACGACTATGTCTCTATCCGCTATTGCAACCAACGGAACAGTACGAGGAGGTGGAGCATACTATCTCATATCTCGATCGCTAGGTCCTGAGTTTGGTGGATCTATAGGGATAGTGTTCTACCTGGGTTATGTGTTGAATACCGGTATGAATGCCGTCGGTCTTGTTGACTGTTTCACACAGAACTTCGGGTCTGAGTCTGGTACTTGGGGCAATTTCCTTAGAGAAGGATTCTGGTGGCAATACCTCTGGGGAACTGTCATCCTCATCATGTGTACCGCGATATGCTTAGCGGGAAGTTCTATATTCTCCAGAGCTAGCAACGGGTTGCTTATCATTCTCCTCATCGCGACTTTCAGCATACCAGTCTCTGCCGTATTCATGAAGCCATTCAGCATCCCAAAGGTTGGGGTAGAATTCACAGGACTGCGGCTTCAAACGCTGCTAGAAAATCTCAAACCCAAGCTTACCAAAGGCGCTGCTGGCAGCCAAATACGTGGAAGGGAGAATTTCCAGGACTTATTTGGGATTTTGTTCCCTGCTACGGGTGGTATATTCGCGTAGGTACGTTTCCTAGAACTTAAGAACACCAAGCTCACGTACCGACAGCGGCGCGAGCATGTCTGGTGACCTTAAGAACCCGAGCAGATCGATTCCCAAGGGAACTCTGTGTGGGCTAGTCTTGACATTCATCACCTATGCTATTGTAATTCTTGCCATGGCTGCTTCGATCACCCGGGAATCATTCTACAAAAATGCCAATGTTGTTCAAGTGGTATGTAATGGTTACATGAACTGAACGGCGTACGTCACTCACCAAGTACAGGCAAATCTTTCCGGGGCAGTTATACTCATGGGAGAATTCGCGACAAGTTTTTTCTCTGCTCTTATGGGAGTGATTGGCTCAGCAAAACTGCTCCAGGCGGTTGCGCGAGACGGCTTGCTTCCTGGCCTAAGTTTTTTCGGCAAGGGTACCAGGAAGACCGATGAGCCCGTTAACGCAATCATCGTCACTTACATGGTTGCACAACTCACTATGCTTTTTGATATCAACCAGATTGCATCCTTCGTTACAATGACCTATCTGATGACCTTTCTCGTGACGAATCTCGCCTGTTTCCTCCTGAAGATCGGGTCTGCTCCCAACTTTCGTCCGTCTTTTCACTACTTCAACTGGAAAACCGCAGCGACAGGCACCTTGGTATGCGGAGCAAGCATGTTCTTCGTTGACGGGATCTATGCCACAGGCTGCGTAGGTGTACTGATGATGCTATTCCTGCTAATTCACTACACCTCGCCTCCTAAGTCCTGGGGTGATGTCAGCCAGAGTCTGATCTATCATCAAGTGCGGAAATATCTGCTTCGGCTTCGCCAGGAGCATGTTAAGTTCTGGCGGCCTCAAATTCTGTTGTTCGTCAACGATCTCAGCGAGCAGTCTAAGATGATCTCATTTTGTAACTCTCTGAAGAAAGGAGGGTTGTTTGTGCTGGGCCATGTGCTCGTGACAGATGATTTCACCACCGCTGTGCCAGAGGCACGACGGCAGCAGACTGCATGGACCAAGTTCGTTGAGAACTCCCGAGTGAAGGCCTTTGTCAATATTACAGTCTCTCCCACTGCTGAATGGGGTGTCCGTAATGTCACACTAAGTGCTGGACTGGGAGGTATGAGACCAAACATAGTCGTGATTGATCAATTCCGCGAAGGCAAATCCTTGGTTGAGAGACCATCCCTCTCAGGTCGTAGGGAATCGAGTGGAAGACGCATATCTCGCGAACTGGTGCCTGTGATATCGGAAGACGGTTCGCAGGAGCCACCGATGTCAACCAAGACATATGTGACCATCCTAGAAGATCTGCTCTTCAAGCTGCGTATGAACGTTGCTGTGGCGAAGGGGTTTGAGGATCTCGAGCTTCCTGGACCACACGGACAGCACACAAAGAAGTACATTGACCTCTGGCCGATACAGATGAGCGCAGAGCTCGGTGCAGACAGTGAAAGCAAGAAGAATGTTCTAACCACTAACTTTGACACCTACACCCTCATCTTACAATTAGGGTGTATCCTCAACACTGTACCGTCGTGGAAAAAGACGTATAAGCTTCGAGTGGCTGTTTTCGTTGAGTACGAAACCGACGTTGAGGACGAGAGAGGAAGGGTCGAAGCGCTTCTCGAGAAGCTAAGGATAGAGGCCGAGGTCTTGGTTTTCTGGCTGGCATGTGGCGATCTTAAAACCTACCGTATCATCGTGAACGGCGACATCTCACCGGAGACCGAGGATGCGGAGCCCCGAGTCCATGAAGCTTTACGGAACGAAGAATGGTGGCAGGATATACAGAAATCTAGGAGTGAGCATGAAGCTCAACAGCGAGCTGAAGTGGGTGCTATCAAAAGGGCAGACGAGCGGATTCCCAGTTGGCCCATGCAAAGCCCCGAAAGTGCTCACAAGCCACTACAACCTTTAGCCGGCGGGCTGAGGAAATTGGTGGAGTCATCCAAGCGCCGGCGATCAATTTCGAGCTTCAGAGGGCTTGGAAGTGTCAGCTTAGGCATGCAAACCCATCGCTTGCTGGATGCTTTTGTTGACTACGAGAGCAGCGAGAGCAGCACAGGTGAGAGCAGTGACGAAGCGGAGTTTCCGCCTTATCTGGATGAGGAAGACGACGAGGAAGAAAACGGCCAGGAAGCCGAACACAGGATCCAGAGTTCTCAATCAGAACCGGCGGGATCTTCTAAAGCAAAACAGAAGGTTACCGAAGAGGTGGCACCGGATCAGGCAGTTCCGTCAATTATTATGACATGCGACGATGGGACATCCCCCAAGACCCAATCAAGTCCATCCCGGCCAAAATTTAACCGGTCGCCGTCCAGCAGCCGCTTCAGCTCATCGCCAATCCCTGAAGCTCGTGTCAACACAGAAGAGGGTGCGGGCCCTTCAATCATGTTCGCTCCTAATGCATCTCCTCCACGCACATCTAACCGGATTGAATCCATTTACACACGACGCTCTTCTTCAGGGCCATCTGTCCCCAAAACCGCGTCTGGATATCCAAGGCAGGCATCAGTTCCCTTATCATTCAATGATCTCCCTAGTCGGGCACAGCATTTGATCTTGAATGAACTGATGAACCAGCACAGCGAAGATACAGCTGTCCTATTCACAACTTTGCCATCGCCGTCCGAAGGCACTGCACAGAGCGAGGCAGCAAGTGCCTCGTACCTGAGCGACTTGACAGTCTTCTGGCAAGGACTGCCGCCGTGTCTGCTGGTTCATAGCAACAGCATGACTGTGACGATGAATCTGTAGCGTAAGGGCATGAACATAGAAAGGGGAGCAAGGCATTGCACATTCTCGCTTAGCCATAGTATATACGACTACTGGTACATTGACTGTTCATAGCATATGCATATGTTAATAATGACTTGAAGATATTGTCCTTCTCCATGAATGAACCCATACTGCTACCATGTCACCGAGCCTAGTAGTACTGGTAGGCTTCAATAACCGATGGTTTGACCCATCCCAACTGTGTTACCCATCAACGCCCACTCCTCGCTATTCCCTTATCAGTGCACTCCACTATTCCCAAGGATAGGCCCACGCCTGCACGAGACAATCAAGCAGTCTTGCCAATGCAACTTTTATTGGGATACCAAGGACCAGAGACCGTACACGTAAGGATACCAGCAAGCATGTTCTCCCCTCCTCTTTCCAGTTGGCCCACTCTTTGGTTCCATCCATTTTCAGCAAGATTCCCGTTCATTTAACCGCGTGTATATCAGCTCTAGACTATTTCCGAAGCACAATTGAACATAAGAATTGTATGTATGTTCTAGAGCTAAGAATGATATAATAAGTAGCATGATGTAATGTATACAGAAAAGACATGCCCATTGATACAAACTGGCACACATCCTATAGTGTTACTAAACAGTAGTGGCTCTCCTAATTTAAGTACTATATTTGAAGAAGCCATTGCCGGATTTGACACCCAGGTCACCCCGTCCGATCATCTCTCGTAGGTATTTGCGCGGCGCATTAGGGATCCCCATCCTCACTTTGGCGTAATGTTCTTCGACGGCGAGAATCACATCCAATCCAGCAATGTCCATCAGCTCACAGGGCCCTCGGGGCGTGTTAAGCACACACTTGTAGATTTGGTCAACCTCCTCGGGCGTCGCAATGCCCTCTTCTAAGACCAGGAGGGTCTCTCGCTTGATGGCGGCCCATATGCTACACTTGATTAGCATATATACCAGTGTTCCATATAACGTGGTTGGCGAGATACCGGTTGAAGGTGTAGCCTGTGGAGGACTTGCGGACGTGGAAGGGTTGGAAGCCATGGTCATGGGTTTCCTGCATAAGTAGAGGGATGATGTCGGGTCGGGTTTGGCTGGAGCCCATGATTTCGATCGCTGAAGCCGGGGGAGTTAGCACAATGAAAAGGCTTCTTCTTGTCTGGGTTAGATCTGGTCTTCCTTACCTGTTGTCTCGGGTGGCCAGACTTGGAAAAGTAATAATTAGTGTTGCTGCTCATGGGACAGTTCGTGGTAGTCATTAAACTTACAGGAATGCAGGTTGACAAAACGATCATCTGCTTTGAGAGATAGTCCATGACAAATGTCCGAGATGGAGTAACTGCTCGAGTTTGACGCGATGATTGTCTGGGAGTGCGATCTACTATCGAGGTCCAGCATCACGGACCGCTTGTATTCCAGGTCCTCTGGGACACACTGACGGGGTTTAGCTAGGGTGTATCAGTGCTTGGTGGTCCTTCCCTACCTCAATAGCGAGCCAGGAGTCGCGGAGCGCTGGGTCCAGATCGTCAACAGTGAGACTGGTTATTTTGCCAGCCTTCCCAGCTGGTTCGGAGGCTCTTAGCCGTTGTATGGTAGCTAATGATTGATTTAGCTGGGCAGGGCTTTTGTCGACAAGGTAGACTGGTCTCCCTTGGCGAGACCACTATTCCGATACTAGTTAAACCAAAGCTCAGATTCATAATGAGAGACCCAAACATACCATGAAAGCAAGGCGCGATCCTTGAGTGCCTGCACCGAGCAGAGTGACAGCGTTGAGAAGTTTAGACATTTGCTGACTTGACTTTGTAAGGTTGTTCAGTTATCTTGGGATTCGAATCTGAGGTTCATGGCTGCAGGCAAGCCCGTGTTTATATGGACATAACCTCATTGCTGAAATGCTGTTTCTTCGAACTATTTCATCCACTTACTGATGTCAATGCAATATTTGACCGTCCGTTCCTGTTAATACCCTGATCTGTACAACAGCGCAGGTTTGATTTAGGATTTACTTGGTTCCAGAGAGATCCTTCTTGCTCCTTTCAGGAACTGACTTTGATTCGGGGGTTTACCGCAATGTCTTCTGGTCTAGTCTCCTAAACCTGTAGTCTTTCTTTTCATGGCAATTTGGGGAGCAAAGCATTGATGATCGACCTGGCGCAGAGTTCGGCGATTATCTTCTGCATAATGCGGCATTTAAGCTTGAGTGACTAGTCAATTGACACTTTCGGTAACAATCTGCCGCATGTAGTTCGTAACGCCTAATCGCGATCTCGTTGAAGAACGTTTCTAGTGGTCGGGGTATGAGGCCGGTGAGGCCGGTGGCTGGTTCCTGGCTGACAGTCTGCATTCTGTTTGGTCAGGTCCTTGTATATTTTTCCGGGGAAGGAAACGTCAAATGTCAGAGCAAGGAAGTATAAAGTCTATCGGGATGATGTAAACATGTAGCAGATCGTTTCAGCCAATTTCAACCAGCTCTTTCTTGGCTTAGAACCTGAAAACCAAAATTCCTGTGGCAAACGATAGGTCTCTACTCTGCTTTCAGCCAATAGAAGACTGGCAAGTCTTCGAACAGAAGTTCAACGAATTCGTATGAGTAACAGCATGGCACTAATATCTACCCGGAGAAATGCTCAAGATCATCCTGTTCCGATTGGGAAGGAATCATGCCCTAATGTGAGCTCAGGATGATACAGTGGTTGTCAGGCCCCGATGAGACAGGGTCCTACCATGCCATGAGACGATCATGCAGTTCTTCAGATGAAGATTGCAACCACTACATAGTCGAACTTGACCATCAAATGCTACCAGACTCCGCATCAAAAGGGTCGAGGCTCTAAGCCTACTGGGAGTATTTGATCAGAGAATTCGGCTTAGGAGTGCTGTGTCTGTCGTTCTAATGTCATAGAAATGTCATTGTTCCTCGACCCATTCGATGCGAGAGTGCTATCGTTTGTTTGATGCCTGTCCTATATATTCTTTTTACTTAGACATGAAGTGTGCAGTGACTCGTACCCGGTACTATATCTTGATGACAGTCAACAGTTATGATGGGTAAGTAACAATGACTCAAGCCATAGAAAGTAGGATCATGTTGATGACCATTATTTATGAAGAAGGTTAATATTGTGCAGGTGATATGTGGTCTAGTTTGAAAATTGATGAAAGCCCAGCATGTTGCACGAGGAGCGAATGGCATGTGGTGGGCCAGTTTGCAACTGCATTTTGGCAGTGGCCCCATCTGCATCTGGAATCATCTGACTGCCATCCATTGCATACTACCGTTCCCCTGGCCTGGTGCAACACGGTAAAGGGACTAACTCACTCATGCCCGATACAACACTATCACAAGTTGCTGTTTCTTTTCCATCCCTTTCGGGAATGACTATGATAAATGATTCCAAGCATTGTCATCCCAGCTGCTTGAATTGGCTAGAAGAGCGATCTTGATGGACTCCAATGTTGATCTGAAGATTAACCTACATCAAGACTCAACTGTCTGAAAGACGAGCTTCCCAAAGATTGCTTACTACGATCCTACTAAGCGACAGAATACCCCCTAGAGCTGGAGTTGATAAAGCAAGGATCACCGCCAGAGAATGGATTATGTTACTCAATCGAAGCGGGAGATGCATCAGAGGAACAGTTGATACCAGACAATGTCAGCCCAACTCAGGGGGGCTTTAGCAGGTGTGTAGGCATCAATTGCTGCAGCGAGTGGCCATTCACACCCGGGCTCTTATTTTTACCAAGCTGATATGCCGTGGAAGGTTCAGACTGACGTGTTTGCCCGCGAGCTGGAGATGCAATTTGGAACAGATATACTCCGGAAGCCGTCTCCGATCAGTGCCCCGTCTTATGACTACTGGAATCATCCAGTCAGAAGCTCACACCCGAGAGGTTAGACGGAATATATACTCGGCTGAATGGGAGAATTCGTCAACCTAGGCGAAACCGGTTGCAAAGGGCGTCGTGCTCGGTATACCCGACCAATGTAGCATCAAGGTAGGAATGAGTGGACACCCCATGCTTTGGGCGAGATACCTACGCACCGACCTTTGGAGGATTGCGTCTGGATGACGCCGTGCTACTACCTTGCTACAAAAGCTGGAAGGAGAAAGGTGATTTGCTTGCTCGCGGGGAGGGCAGAGAGCACGAAGAGTGCAGCAGGTGGCAGTGAGGGTAATCAGACTCAGGGCTACCGTGTAGAATCTAGACCACGAAGAAATGGGCGCTGCAAGGCGATAGGATTAAACGCAGGCCAGAAGAAGCAATTGTCAGATGGCCGCCCGTCCAACGGTGACTAATGCACATTTGGGGCCTGATGATTGGCTGCCACCCCGGCTTCCCCTTCTAGCATCCAGCGATCCCTGCCTCGCGCCGTCCGATCAACTGCCCCCGGCGATTCGTGTTCTCAATCTCTCTTGCTTCTCGTTCGGTTTTCACGCATGCTGACTTGGGCGCCTTTTTGCGGTCCTTTTTTCTCTCATTAATGCTCTCTCCCCCCGCGACTCCTAGTCTCTCTCTCCTCGCCATGCCCATCGTCCAACTGTCCTAACGCTTAGCCTTCCCGACCTTCAGCCCCCCCGAATCCATCGCAACCCCCTAAGTTACGTATCCTTTCCATTCGCTTCAGTAATGCACCACGGGCGAGTACGTCGCAAGAACGGCAGTCTTAGAGCCTCCAAAGCTGGCCAGCGTCGCAATATGTCCCATTTGATACCCGATCATGCCCCTCCACCTCAGTCTAAAACCGTCACCGTTAGCGACGATAGTCCTGATACCTCCGACGCCGCTTCGAACACTTCAGCGACCACCGTTATCACCAACACCTCTAGCATCCCTGCCACCTCTCCCACCAACGGGGTTGATTCCGTGAAAAGAGCCATGGCCCGCAAGGCTTCGTCGCCGATGGCGCCCCCTTTCATGGTGTCCGCGCCGGGCAAGGTCATCGTCTTCGGTGAACATGCCGTCGTGCACGGCAAGGCTGCCATGGCCGCCGCAATTTCTCTTCGCTCCTACTTTCTCGTAACCACCCTGTCCAAATCGCAGCGCACTATCACCTTAAATCTCAGGGACATGGATTTCAATCACACCTGGAACATTGACGATCTGCCCTGGGACCTCTTCAAACAGCCCCCCAAGAAGAAATACTATTACGACCTAGTGACCAGCCTCGACCAAGAACTGTACGACTCTCTAAAACCATGCGTTGAAGACATATCGCCCAAGGCATCCGAGGAAATACGGAAGAAGCACAAAGGGTCGGCGCTGGCGTTTCTGTACCTATTCTGCTCCCTGGGCTCACCCCAGCACCCAGGAGCTATATATACTTTGCGCTCAACTATCCCCATGGGTGCAGGTCTTGGAAGCAGCGCCAGTGTCTGCACTTGTTTCAGTGCTGCGTTGCTACTTCAGATCCGTACTCTAGCAGGCCCCCATGATGACCAGCCCCCGGATGAAGCGGAGTTACAGATCGAGCGTATCAACCGGTGGGCTTTTGTCGGAGAATTATGTATACACGGAAACCCAAGTGGTGTGGACAACACGGTCTCCACCGGCGGCAAGGCCGTGATTTTCAGGAGAGAGGACTACTCGAAGCCCCCCAAAGTCATACCGCTACCGAACTTCCCGGAATTGCCGCTCCTGCTCGTTGACACACGACAGAGCCGCTCGACGGCGGTTGAAGTTGCCAAAGTTGGGAAGCTCAAGAAGGAACATCCAGTCGTCACCGAATCGATCCTCGATGCCATCGACAAGGTCACTGTGTCTGCGCAAGATGCGATCCAGGGGGTGGATGGCGATAGTATCGACAAGGAGACTCTCGAACATATCGGAACGCTGGTTCGTGTCAATCACGGTTTCCTAGTGTCCCTGGGGGTATCCCATCCGCGACTGGAGCGAATCCGGGAACTGGTCGACTTTGCCAATATCGGTTGGACAAAGTTGACCGGTGCAGGCGGCGGTGGTTGTGCAATCACACTCCTGCGCCCAGATGCTAGCGCGGACGCGCTCCGTGAGCTGGAGGGCAAGCTCGCTGCAGAGAATTTCTCAAAGTATGAGACAACCTTGGGTGGAGACGGTATCGGAGTCCTCTGGCCAGCGGTGCTACACAACGGCACCAACGAAGAGGGCGGCGAAGAGATCGACCAGCAGAAGTTTGAGAACGCCGACGGACCCGAAGGCATTGAGCGTCTTGTTGGCGTCGGCGTTCAAGAACGTCGGGAAGGCTGGAAGTTCTGGAAACGAGCTGTCTGAAGGCCACTTTCCCTCACCCTCTCTCATTTCATCCTGCTTGAACCTTTTACGATCATTTCCCCTTACGTCCGAGCTTGGTGTCAGGGCATTGCACGATTGCATATTTATTTGTTTAATCGACCTTCAATTCCCCTTTCTTCTGTTATGGCTTCACTATACTTACTATCTTCTTCCCTTCTGTGTATAATAATTCCTTCCAGATTTCTTGACACGCCTCTTATCTATCTACGGAATATAGTATTCCTTATCCATACACAATTTATTGATCTCTCTTTTCTTTTCTTGTCTTATTTTTTCCATTTTTACCTTTATTGGTCCCCTCAATATTTTTGTTTTCAAATTCTCTTCAGATACTGCATTAGGGACGCCTGCTTCAGTGGAAAACTCATGTCTGCATTCTTATGGGTTATGTTGTTTCTAAGTGATGTAGCGATGCGAATGTCAAGCCAATATGTGTATTCAGCCTCTATGTAGTATGCTCGATCTTGAGGTTACCAAGACTGAAAATAAAATACTACTACTGTACAACTACCGAATCTTTTCAAGGAATGCCAATTTTTGTCAAGTACTAAGTACGGAGTATGTATCGACGGGAACCTTTCACCAAAGAAACAATCTAGATACTAGTACTGATACCATGAAACGCTAAATATACACCCCTAGCAATATGAACAAAGCACCTAGAAAAGAAAATACTATATCCTTTCAAGTTCATCATTCATTACAGTCCCCAGCTGGTACTTGAAGCAAACACAAGGAAGACACGAAAGACTACCCCATCGTTGTCTCCCAGCCCTTTTCTATCATCACATCCATCCAATAAACGCCCGGCTCCCCGGCATCCATGCGCCGCCAAACCTCCCGCACCAGCTGCAGACAGACGCTAATGGGCTTGGGAGGGAGCACATGCAGATACGAGGTGAGCCGGCCAAGGATGAATCGACGGGTTTGCGAGACGTCGATGGCGTGGGAGGAGATGCTTGGGCCGTTGCTGCTGTCTAGAGTAGCGTCTAGTGGGGGCATGCGGGGAAGACGGAGCTCGCTGCTCGAGGCTACGAGGAGGAAGGGCTGGAGACATCTGGTGCGGGACTCAAGGGGGATGGATTTTAGGCGGGAGAGAGTGGTGAGGGCGAATTCGGTCAGCCATGTATCGTAATATGTGTCGGAGTCGGGGCCTGAATGTGTGGTGGTTGATGTTGCTGTTGGATCGGCGGAGTCGGTGGGTTTGGGGGGCGGACATGAAGGGTCGCAGTACCAGGGTGTACTACTGCCAATGGGAGGGGAGAGGAACGGATCCTGCATGGCTGATTCTGGAGCTTGTGGGTTTGGGGAAGGCCGTTGTGTGGGTAGTCGTCGGCGAAGAAGATCGGGAAAGACCCGGTATAGTTGCATTAGACCAGTACAGCGGTATACTTCGGCCATTGTGAGAAGATGCCAAACTGGGGTTTCGTCGTCGCCTGGACTAATGATCTCAGCTTCGGCTGGGTGTGCTAGACCCAAAAGTCGCTCTTCTAGCTCTGTGGCTTTTGTCATGGCGCGCTGGGCTCGTGCAATGTCTGAGTGTGAGGTAAAGCAGCGGGAACGGATTCGTCTTCGCTCCCGACGTATAAGCCTGCCTACTTCTTGGACGGTATGCTGGGTGTCGCGCGCTATGCCTGTCCATGGATGAGGGACGCGTTGTAGGACGAGCGATTCACCTGTTGTGGCGGCCGCGGATCCTGGCAAGACCGCCGAATCATCTGCCACAAAGGATAGGAGCATTTCCCAGTAGACCAAAGCTTCTTCGAAGAACTGATGGTTATTGCTGCGGCCTGGATTTGGTGGTCCAGCGTGCTTGGTGTCCAGATGATTGCGAAGCAGGTTGAAAAAAGAAATGCCAAGGTCCTTGGGGTCATGCCAGCTGGCTGTTTGGCCAAGCATCAGCAAGGCTAGGAGTGACTTGTCGTCCAACATCGATTCCTTTGTGATGATGTCGACTGCCTCATCACGCATCTTCCGGCCTAGTGGTCCGAACTGGGGAAAGTCGTGAACGAGTGTTGCGGCCGCCATGCTCTGCATTGTTCGACACATGGCCAATGACGAGCCCCATAATCGGGATACCGTCGATCGGAATGGGTTCATTTGACTGTCATAGCTGGAGAACAAGGCCGCCACCTCTTTAAAATAGTACTCCACGAGAGTCCATGAAGGGTTGTTGAGGGGCTGCGGAATCGAGGTGAAGTCCCGCTGTGATGGCCTCGAGCCAGGTGGAGGGTACTGGCGTACTATAGTAGAAGGTGAAAAGCCAGAAAAGATGTGAGGTTCATCTTGCAGAATCGGTGCGGCCAAAGAGAACAGCCCGAATGGATCATCAGCATTAGTTCCCGGTGTTTCGAAGTTCAATGCCGGGTTATTTTGGCTAGCCGCTGATGCCGATGCTGGAGAATGGAGGTCTTCCAGTTCCGGTAGCGAGCCTGACTGCTGTAAGTCCCATAAGTTGTCACATATACCGCTTGGTCCGCCTAATCCCAGACTCCGCGGATTGGCCGGATCGTCAGAAGTGGTGAAGTTTAGGCTGTCATTCTCCGTGGCCAAAGACTGTGTCAGTGGGTCAACATAGTCGGCAGGGCTGGTAGTCAGATTTTTGGGATCGGAACATCGATTCGGGCTGGTGCGAGAATCACTGGGAACATCGCCAGTGGAATCTTTGTTCGGCTCCCCGGGGGCCTGCGGCGGATACTTGGTGACCCAGCGCAGAGACTGGACGTATCCAGGGCAATTCACACCCAGACGGGTGCATCGACTACAATGAGGTCGTTCTTCCCCGCATTTGACCTGTTGAAAGGCGGAGCATCAAATTAATGTTTAGGGCCACATGGGGCGGGACTATGTAGCCACCGCTCAAAAAGATACTCAACTCACTCGTTTGCTCTTGCAGCGGGCACATCCATTACGAGATTTTTTGACACGACGCATTATCGGTCCGAGGTGGGCTCATGGTAAGTTGAGGATAAAGAAAGCGAACAGGTGGATGTGGCAGAGGATGAGGAGACGATGGCCATGTCAAGTTGGAGAATGCGGGGACACATTGCCTGGCCTTATCGCGGGCCAATGAATGTGTGTCTGGGGACTTTTTATCCTCTTCGGGAAACGCACGTTGCCCTTTATGAATCATTGTAGATAATGACTGAGATTTCTGCATTGGCTGCTTGGAAATGCACCGGTGACCGCCACTGATAGTGGCTCAGAAAAAAGACCCGGGGTCAGGTAGTGGTTGTTGTACCAGACGAACATGATGGAAAACAATGGCAGACTTGGCCAGAACAATCACCCAAAATGGTTGTCCGCCTTGATATTGTTCTATGGATGCCTCAGGCAATAATACCCCACCCGCACGGAGAGTCGCTCATTTTGGCGCATATCAATCCATCCACATGAATACCTTCACCGTTTGCTATATCACGCAGTCCTCTTTGCACGTCGGAAAGTAAATCCGACAGTTAATAGCATAGAACGTGACTATCGCAGGCTCGACTTGATCCGTTGCGACCAAGTAATTTACTTAAGCTTGGGTTTTGGTTCTCCGGGTTTTACCGGACATCATTCACTACCACGTCGGGATATCGGACGAGGGTCTAAGTTGTGCTGTCCCAGAGACACCAGAGTGCAAGCCGGTTGAACATCTCAGCTCACCTATATATGAATCTGACGGGAGGGTCTCCTTGAATGTGTATAGCGTGAACCACCGTACCCCTGACCAGTTGTTATACTGTTTACTAGCCGCTATATCTAGAAAGTATTTACTTTCAAGCTGAAACATGGAAGGAAAATACGCATCTGATCCCGAGTGGGCATCTATACAGCCAATTCCGCTGAACGATGGCTCCGAATCAGGAGCTCAGCCCTTGGCTACCATTGCTTATCCTTCGGACTATCTTGAGGCCACATCGTATCTACGAGCGGTCATGGCGGCCAACGAAATGTCGGAAAGGGCCTTGAAGTTGACTGAACACATTATCTCGATGAACCCGGCACACTATACCGTATGGTAAGCTTAGCTGAACCGACCCGCCTATGATACCGTTGGGATGCGAAGCTGACTGGAACTATCAGGATTTACCGAGCTAAGATCCTGTTTGCTTTGGGCAAAGATCTCAAAGACGAGCTGGAATGGCTCAACGGCGTTTCACTCAAGTATCTGAAAAACTACCAGATATGGTATGGCAAACTATCGCTTCCATCCCACTTCCAGCGACGCAACTAACAATCATCACCAGGCATCATCGTCAAGTTCTCATGTCACGCACAGACTACTTCCCAAGCCCACCGGCTAAGGAGCCAGACTTCCTCATGGAAATGTTTGCCCAAGACTCCAAAAACTACCATGTTTGGACTTACCGTCACTGGTACGTCCGCCACTTCAAGCTCTGGGATGCCCCGCGGGAAATCCAGGACGTGGAGGCTCTCATTGCATCGGATGTCCGCAACAACTCCGCTTGGAACCACCGCTTCATGCTCCGGTTTGGCCCGCGCGATAACGAGCCAGATGCTGGAATGCCCAATAGCGGCGGAGACCCTTCGGAGAAGGGCCGACTAGCCGTTGTCGATGAAGACGTTGTCGATGCTGAGCTGCAGTATGCTAAATCCAAGATTGTCCGGGCGCCCGAGAACCGTAGCCCGTGGTCATATGCGCGGGGGGTATTGCGTGCCGCGGGTCGGCCTCTTTCGGAATGGAAGGAATTTGCTGGCAAGTTCGTCGTCGATAAGGAAGATGGTGGCGTTGAGGTCAAGAGTAGCCATGCTGTTGAATGGCTGGCTGATGTGTTCGTTGCGGAAAGCGAACCGACATCAGAACAGGAAGCTGTCCGTATGCTTACCTTGCTGAAGGAGAAGTATGATCCCATGCGATCTAACTACTGGGATTATCGCATTCGGACGATTACCAGTGCAGCCGTTCCTGCTACAGCGTGAAGACAATGTGAATCTTGTATATTGCGAGCGAGAAGTCCAAGGAGAATTACCTGTTAGAGTGATTCTATGGCCGTGACTCCAAATTATCAGAAAAAGTTTGTCAATAACAGCTAATATTATATCATATATCAAACAACAAGCACGCTGTGTCATACATCATTAACCTGTATAGTGAGACCCATGCAACCCAAGTTTTCACAAGAACAATCAAAGCCAAGAGATACACCACAACCCATAGAAGAAATAGCCATGAAATCTTAACAATCACTCTCATGCCCACCCCTCAGCCAACATCTTCCTCCACTCTGCCGCCATATCGATAGTAACATTGCTGCCACCGCAAACAATGATAACCACGCGACTGTCTTCATTCAAGTCCGGCACCAACTCCTTCAACTTAGACTGCAGCCCCCCAGCAGAGGCCGACAGCGACGGCGAAGACACCGGACCATCATCCTCATTCTCCCCAGCAGACAGCCGATCATCCCCATAGCCTTCATCCTTACTCACATACCCAGCATCCATGCCCCTCTTCCTCTTCTGACCAGCAGCCACCATCTTCGAAGAAGAAGATGAAGAAGCACAACTAGTCCCCCCAACCGCAGCCTCCACACAAACACCACAAGCCAACTCAACCAACAACCTCTCATCATCCACAAGCCTCAACACGCCCCTAGCGGCCTCCGCATCCGAAAACACCGCACTATGCACCTTCACGCCCGGCGGCGGCTGCACCGCATACTGAAACGTCCTCTCAGAGACCTTAATAGCCCCTAACGACGTAGCCTGCGACGTAATCTTCGGCAACGAGACCAACTCGTTACTCTCCAGCGCCGTAGCCAGAGAATCCGTGCCCTTGGTCTCAACAGCCACAAGATGAACAGGCTTCGCAGTACTATCATCAGCAGCAGCAGCAGCAGCAGACATCTTAGCCTTAGCCCTATGCCTCTCAATCCCCATAACCAATCCATTCAACAACCCCCCACCGCCAACACTACAAACAATAACATCAACCGGCAACGCACGACCTGCATGCACTTCCTCCTCTTCCTCCCCGACAGGCGGCGGGATCTGCTCCACCAGTTCATCAATGATAGTGCTGTTCCCTTGCCAGATGGGCTCGTTGTCGAATGGATGCAGGGCAATCTTCACAACGTCATCAACACCTTCGCTGTCTTCACCATCGGTGTTCTTGGTCTTCATCACAACATCCTTCATGTACTGCCCTGCCTCTGAGAATGTCTCTCCGTACTGAATCACATCCGCTGCTCCTGCATTCCGCAGCTTCTGCACCATCAGCGGCTTCGTCGATACAGGTACCACTACCGTGCAGGGGTACCCTAGGCTCCGGGCCGCGCAGACGGCAGCTAGGCCGGCGTTGCCGCCGGAGGAAGCGTAGAAGTGCACGGGACGGTGGTGGTTCTCGGGCTTGAGGAGGTGTGAGAGGATTTGGTTGCCCATGGCGCGGGACTTGAAGGAGCCGCTGGGTTGGATGTTTTCGAGTTTCAGGAAGATTCTACATCCTGCGGCGCGGGAGAGGGTTGTGGATTCGATGAGAGGGGTCGGGTTCCAGGGGGTTTTGTAGGTTGGAGGCGTGGTGGGAGGGAGGATGCTGCCCATTGTGATGGTCTGTTGGTGTCTGGGTTCCCTTCGGGATATGGTGGTTGTGGTGGTGTTCAATTGGTGGAGAGGATGATGACGATGGTTATTAGGATGATGGTAGGGATGTTATAAGGAAGGGTAAGTAGTAGTATAGTTAAGATATGATATGATCTGTCAGTTGTTGGGATGAGAGGAGGTTGTTTTCAATAAATAGTAGGAGGCAAGAGGAGAGGAGACAAGATTAGGTATAAGATGATAAACGTATACTACAATCGAAAAGAGAAAGAAAACCCCTAGTTTATGATACAGACCTCATATACTCCCCCCATGATATAGCGCTGAAACCCATAGTTCGTGATATACAACACGGACGCTTTCCGATATAGTCCGCCCCAGTTTGCCGCGGGAAACCTACACACAAGAGTTTCCCGCCCCGAGTCTATCTATCAGGAATTCGACCAACCCTTCGCCCAGTCGGCACCCTTTTCCCGTTGATAAACTCGCGCATATTCTGCTCCAGTTATCGCCATACCATGACATAACACAAACCTTCTCTCCACCCCTGCATGCGTGTGAATGACGGTCTGGGACCCAGAGCCGTCCATAACGCAGTCCAATTCAAGCAGCAAACGGCAAAGCCAAACCCGCTCGATTTCCACAGTCTCCTCCACCAGGCGGAGACCCGTGCTTAATTGTGCGTGTTCTGGCTGACCGAACGTTCCAATCTAGTGTCCATGATTGGATCCTAGCCCATTCCTGTTATCAAATGGAAAGGACAGCCACATTAACTTTCCACGATAAGAGGGGGAAATAGGATACTCTTCTTCGCATCCACTCCGTAGTCTGCGTCGGAGCCGTACGTCGCCGCCGCATAGTTCCTTTTGGCCGGGTCCGTTTTGTCTACATGGAACATGTCCAGAAGCTCGTTGGCCTTGGTGGGCATGACAGGCTGCAGGAGGATCCCGGCCATTCGCAGTGATTCAGCAACATTGAAAATCGATCGCTGGCGGTCGTTCGGACTCTTCCATGGCTCTGCGTGATGGAAGTATTTGTTGGTCTGGGTGGACCGGGTTAGAACAAGTCTGGGAATCATCACCGATCATAGGGTGGGTCTATCTTTATCTCTTACCTGATCGATTAGGGTAGTGATTTCTTGCAGGGCAGCACGGGGATTCAGATTCTCCATTTGCTCTGCTACTCTCTTGGGCACATCTTTGAGCATTGTTTCGTACGCCTCATCGGCCGGAGTCGCTGGTGGAAGTCGGCCACACGTGCCATTCTCGATGTAAGTCCGAAGATTACCCTTGGCACAGCCAATTGCCCGATGCGCAAGGTTTCCAAGCCCCTTTTGCAGTAGCTTCTGATAGTCGCGGATGATGTACGCATTATCGTAGTCGGCGTCGCCCACCAATGCACCTTGGTGGATAAGGAAGAAACGCATGGAATCCACTCCGAAGCGGTTGATGGCAAAGAAGGGGTTCACCACATTACCCGTAGACTTCGACATCTTCTCACGGTTCATAGTCCAGTGTCCATGAACGAGTACATTGCGGGGAAGAGGGAGGTCGAGAGCCATAAGGAATGCGGGCCAGTATACGCAGTGAAAGCTGTTGCACGGTTAGTCATGGGGTCGCGTACATGGCAAGCATGAAGGCAAATACGCACCGAACAATGTCCTTACCGACCACATGTACATCCGCAGGCCAACCAAGGCGGCTTCCTTGACCGGGTGCAAACGGGTAGCCTGCCTTGGTCAAGTAGTTGACAAGCGCATCCAGCCAGACATAGACGGTCTGTGTGTTGTCGCCGGGAACCGGAATACCCCAGGTCAGCCGCTCCGCAGGCCTAGAGATTGACAAATCTTGAAGGCCCTCCGAAACAGACTTGACGACATTGGTTGTATACATCGTCGGGGTAATAAATCCAGTTTTGTATAGATCGAGCAAACGCTCCTGGAAAGCTGACAGACGGAAATGGTAGTTGGTTTCCGACGACCACTCCACCTCCTTTCCCGTCTCAATGGAGACCTGTCTGGGTGAGCTTCGATCGTTTTAGCAGGTGGTTTGGCGTGCAGCTTACCATCTTCGTGTGTCCAGTCTCAGGGTCCAGCGACTTTTGTACTTGCGTCTGAGGGTAGAATGTCTCATCGCTAACCGAGTACCAGCCTTCATGCTTCGCGGTGTAGACATATCCCCGGTGCTCCAACACTTCCTATACACATGTCAGCCTTAAGCTATGCGCGTGGACGCATCTCCTAGCCACATACCCAGAAATACTGAACAGCTTCCTTGTGCGCAGGTTCGGTCGTCCGTATGAAGTAGTTGTAGTCCATATTCGCGGCATTTGCTAAAGCCTAACTTGGAGGTTAGAGTCGACCTCAGATCAAAACCTGACAAGTAGTGTTTGTTGCCTACCTCAAACGTCTTATAATTCATGTCGCAGAACGCCTGCGTATCCATCTCTGCAGCCAACGCGGCCTGCTGGATCTATACAGAATTAGCACAGTACTGTGCTAAGCAGTAATAAATGGCCCATACCTTCATGCCATGTTCGTCCGTTCCGGTCAGCAATTGTGCATCAGCGTCTCCGATGAGTGTCCGCCATCTCTTGATGACATCGGCAAGGACCATAGTATACAGATGACCGACATGAGGGGCTATATGAGCCAAGACATTAGCAGTGAGCCAGTGGACGAAAAAGCACAGTAAGATATCCGGAGAGGGCGTACCAGCGTTGACATAGAATATGGGAGTCGTGACATAGTATGGCTTCTTAGGAGCGCTTTCCGAGGCCGCCGTTGCGAATTGACGCGGACGGATCGTTGTCACTGGGCGGGCAGTTGTGCGGGGGACGCATCTCCAAGATGGGCGACTGCAGGCCAGAAATTGGCCGGCCCAAGAAGCGACACGAAAACCTGCCCTCGAGATAGCCATTGGCGTGGGACTGCAGAAGGGAACAACGATGGTTTATTCCAGGCGGCGTTTCGGAGCTCGACCATCATCTCCGGGTGGTCCAAGCTTTCGTGCCTTTTTTCTGCCGTCCGATGCCAGCTCCTCTTCTCCGCGATCGCGCATTCTTTACATAGCATCTACCTCGTTCCCTCTGTTCAACCACCATAATATAACCGTTCTTGGACTACTCAGGGGTTTTCAGGAATTTGAGGTTCGCGATATTAGGGTCTGTATACAGTGTCTTGGCTTGGTTACCGAATTTGTCGTTGGAATCCATCAAAAACAGTCCCGAATCACAATGGCTCCTCCTTCAGAAGACACATTGACAAAGGTTTCCACGGATGGTATGTCGATTTACAAGCAGTATCTTGCCTGAAAATTCTAACTTAGATTAATCTGCAGCGGCAACCGACTTTGTCCAGTCCTTCTACCCTGCCCTCGAGAACAACCGTTCCACGATAGCCTCGTTCTATAGCCAGCCCACGGCCATGATCCTTTTCAACGGAAACGCTGTCGCCGATGGCGCCGCTGTCCAAGAGATTTTTGTCAATCAAATGTCCCCGACGCATTATGAAGTGCAGTCTGTCGATTGCCAGATTATCAACAAGGCGTATCCGACACCTACATCCACTGGAGTGAAGCTCCCCACTGAAACGACTGTCAAGGACATGTCTATCTTGGTGGTCGTTAGCGGCTATGTGCGCTTTGGAGAGTCCAGAGATCTACCGCAACGAGGCTTCAGCGAGACCTTCGTGCTGGTGCCGAATCCATCCGCCGACGGGCCCAAAGGAAAGCGCAAGCGAGAATGGCTTATCCAAACCCAGAACTTCCGACTCGTCGTATGAAGGATCAACACCAAAGTTTATCTGATGGAAGAGGACGCCTTCTACTATGCCTTTGACGAAAATTACTAGAATTGCTATTGCGGTGTGACGACATGATAAACACATTATGCGCTATGATCCAACCACGCGATTACACATTTTGAGCCGCAGAAGGAAAATGGAAGGAAATCCAAGGAAATACCCCACGACACGCCAAGCGAAGAACTCCCGAAACAACGCGACTGCTATCTCATCACTGGGCCGCAGATCTTCGCGGTACACGCATATTTGCTTTAATGCGCTCGAGTAACTCGTCACGCGATGCGCTTTCGCTGGGCAAAAGGCCCCTCTTGGAGTGACAGTTAGAAAACATTGCTCTTTTTGGCGACATTGACTGTTTTGTTTACGATGGAAGAAGAAAACATACAACTCGAAGCCATGTCCGCATTTCATCTGCAGTCCAGTTTTCCGGATCTTTTAGACGTCAGTTTGGTATACCTACAACCACAGAAGAATTCGATCCCGTGCCTCCAGTTGGGTCAGCTTCAGCCGGGAACATATCGCCACCCCAGATGGCCCAAGCGGCCGCTGCAGTCACCATGCCGGCAAACCCTGACAAAGTTAGATCGGACTTTCCGTCAACAATATTCAGCTCAGAAGGATATACCTAGAAATAGGTTCTGAGACCATATTAGCTTACGGACGCCGATATCATGTCTGGGGTTGGATGTATAGTACCTTGGAGTTTAATGCGCGATCCAAAGGCGTCGGCATTTTGTTCTGGACTAGAGTTCGCCTGCTGTGTATACACGAGAAAAGTATTGCTAGTAGTCACAAAGGCGAAAGGAGGCGATGATATCTGTCAAAAAGAACAACAAGCTTGTTGCCAGATATCCCAGTAGATATAAGACGGAGGGTGGCTAAAACACTATAGATAGATGTCGATCCCCCGTACTCCGTAGGCAGCCGCCTTATCGGTGCACCGCCACATGTATCATTGCGGGATATCCCGCCACGACGTGGCACTGGAACTAAGGGCTTCCGGGGGGCAACCCTACAGCCCACAGAAGCTAGCTGACTACTCCCCCGGCCAGCACCGCCCGCCGACGAGCTTCGAGACCCGCGATTGTCATCCAAACCTTCCGTCATCCACGACTACTCAAACCAAAGTCACAAACCCCACTAGCCACCATGCCTCAGGAAATCTCCGACATCAAGCAGTTCATCGAGGTCTGCCGCCGCAAGGATGCGTCCTGTACGTTTACCCGACCTTTAGCCGCTTAGTTATCATGAGGTGGAAAGCTCCGCGGAGCTAGCTCTTTGAGGAGGGGGGGAAGCTCGAGACGGGTACCCGACCATCATCGAAAGGGCACATTGGAATGGTTCATTGGGATGGATGATTGATATGAAGTCGAGGCTAACGCGTGATGGTCTTGTCTGTTGAACAGCTGCTCGCATCAAGCGCAACCCCAAGGACCAGCAGATCAAGTTCAAGGTCCGCTGCTCCCGCTTCGTCTACACCCTTGTCCTGAAGGACTCCGACAAGGCCGACAAGCTCAAGCAGAGCCTGCCCCCTGGTGCGTTTGCTCCCGTCACCTAGTCGACTATTCCCTTGGATGGTGTTGTGGAATAAGATACATGTCGTCGGATTCGATTGTTTCCTACGACTCGAGATGGATGTCTGATGTGGACCTCGGATATTGCATGACATCATATGGATCAAGTACTAACATCAATTGTTTTCTCCTACAGCTCTCAAGGTTGTCGACGTCTCCAAGGGAGACAAGAAGAAGGCTCTGTAAATACCTTCATCAACACATTGAGGTTGGAACTCGGCGAGGAGGTCGTCGGCGCATGGAATATGGTCGGAGCATGAATACAAATGTCGATTACGATTAGGAAATTGGCATGGGCAAGGATTGCTTCTGTGGGCCGACACGGAGGGGTCATTGATCTCTGAACCAGATTGGTTGTCTCTTCGCGTCTGGTTACCAGTGGACTGTGATGGATGTCTTCACGGTTCACTGAAACCGGATGACCTACATGACTGGAACTTTTCTGCTAAGGGTTTTGCTTTGTCGGAGCACCTTTGCATCCTATACAACGTAATGGAGAAAAACAGTTGAAAATTCCATGATACCTCGACTTTCGCCCGATAATGTGACATGAATGCTTGTGCTCTGGTTAGGTTGTGTTGTCTGGACAGGCATTGCTAGCCTTAGTGGAATGCTGTCCACTCTTTTGGTTGTAGTTCGTAGGTAGTCTTGGGCATAGTGTATGCGTTCCTGGCATTGCTATGCATGCTGTAAGCTATCGTGTAACATACGGCCCATGCTGTAAAGCCCTCACCGTTTGCTATGACTGCATACATACATGCAACCATATCAAAAGCATGGAGATCTTTAAACGAATCTACAACCCAGTCGGACTGCCCCTGCCCTCTGATGTCATAATTGGATAGTCTGATCTAAGAACTATACCCAGTATTCTATCAAACCCAAGCAACCTATGTATACAAACGACATCCAAGACACAACCACTCACTAGTTGATCAATAATCACTCGACCCTTTCATAGCCCACCTCAACATACCCCGACACCCCAGCCCTCTCCAGACTCACATCAACCATATCCCGACCCAGCGCCTCCCTCTCCCTCCTCAACTCAAACTCCCCAAAATAATTCGGCTCCTCAGTAACCTTCTTGAACATAGCACCCTCAAACAGCGCCAAACTCCGCTCATTAGCCTGACCAATCTTCACACTCAAACAGGCAAATTTAGGCACCGCCTCAACCCCCTTCATTGCCTTCGCGGCAGTCTCATCCCTGCTGACAAACTCTTCCAAGATCTCCGCTTCATGGTCAACGATATACCGTAGGAAGGTGTTAAGCGCGGCTTTCCCGAAGCCCTTGCGCTGGTTATTCTTCTCGGCTATCATTAGTTCGATTTCCCCGATGATCTGGGGCTCCGCGTCGCCTTCTTCGCCGTCGTCGACACGGAGGAAGAGGTTGATGTCCCCGACCATTCGGTCCGGGGCGTCGTCTGTGTCTTTAATGGTGGGTGTTGAGGTTTCCCCTTGTGATGATGATGGGAGACAGACAATGAATGTCAACTTGTCTGGGTCTTGGCGCCAGCTTTGTTGCATGGCGTATTCTTCCTCTATAGAGAGGGGTTCGGATGCGGTTGCTTCCTGGATTTCCTGATATGGCAGGTCAGTAATTGTAGGTACAATATTCGAATATTTACGGGTGGGGTTTGGCGGTCTAAGAGGATTACGTATTTACCTCATCTTTCATCCATTCGTGGTATCTTGGAACGTGCCATTTGGAGTATGGAACCAAAAGCACCGTGGATGTGGAAATAGCTATAGAGGGGATTTAATCAGCCTGCTTGTGTGGTGGCGCATGCATTCAATGCTCCGATATACCTGTCTTGGCGTTGAGGAGCATGTCGAAATACCTGGCCCACCAGTTGACCGTAGCCTGATGAGTGCGTTTAGGTATATGACAATATATATTATTGAGGTAGCTGGTTCTCCAGATCCCGATACTTGGTAGTAGAGGATTGAATTGAAGAGTCGGGACTTTTCCGCGCGGATCTTGGCACCGCCCGCGTTTAGGCAAGAATCTCAGATAGCCCTGAATTCCGGTCTAGCCAGCATAACGGTGTTAGTAAAATCATAAGAAAAGGAAGAAATAACAAAGCAGTAGCTCATAAGACTTATATCTCATTAATATATGCTATTGGTATCGGCCGCTCATTGTTGCTCTTGTTGTCCAGCAAATGTACTAAACTTCACCACCTCCACCTCCAGGGTCTCGGTATCGACCAAAACCAATTCTCCGGTTTCCTTGAATTTGGGTATAGATAGAAGGCGCACACGAGGGCCAGATGTGTTATCGTCATCTGCGCCTGTCATCTCTGTGTCGGCTCCGTTCAGCTTCAGTGGGGCATCACCCTCAATCACAGCTGTCTTGAATTGTGGCTGGTTGCCGGCAAAGAAGATGTGTGGGCAAGTTTGTATAACGAATGGATCGTGCGTTTGAAATGGATAGGACCCTGTTCCCGGAAATCAGCATTTGCACCAGTAGGATTAAGAGGCCAAATAGGAGCTTACATAGAGTATCGGGCGCAGTGGGAACTCCACATCTCCAGCGCAGCATAGCCTCCATAACTCTCATCCTCGCCTCTATATCTCCAGCACCATCGGCCACATTTCCTTCCTCATCGGCGAAGTTCAGATACCGGAGGATATCATCCACGTTCTGCCCACTGCTACCCCATAGGCGCCAGCCCTCCACGTCCCCTTCCCACGGGTTCGTTACACTGTCGAACCAACTTGGCTCTTGCTTGTTATCACCAGCAGGAGGCGGAGCACAGTATGCCCTAGCCTGCGGGAACATCGCACGGTGGATTCCCTGTTGAGGGAGAGAGAAATTTGCCGGGTCAGATTCGCCTGGCATTAGTGTAACGGGCATACTAGGCAGGATCTCCGCTAGGAAAGAATCAAGCCGTGTAATAGGCGATGCATTATAAGCAGAAGCATCGTATCCGTACTTCTTCGGACCGGTCCTCTTCTTTGTAGAACTATCGGCGTTGACGTCCGTAGTCATACTTGCTCCGACCGAGTTTCCCGCGATAATCAACCTTGTGATTGCAGAAGCATCAGGTAGTGCTCCTTCAGAAGCACCACCGGTATAACCAAGCAAATAATCTGCCAGAAGTTCCAAAGCAAGAGTATCGCTCGAAGTTCCGGTAATCCCTAGACCACTCACAAATGCAATCTTACCCTTGCTGGCTCCCTTTGGTGCGTCCAGTGTATCATTTCCCCATCTGCGGGGCTGTTGCGGTAAATCAGGCACTTTGGTATCTATAACCTCGAAGTCTCCGTTGGCGTTCTCTGTTCCCAGGACTGCAATGATAGCTCCTGTACATAGCTGCGTATTCCGGAGCATGCTTCCAGTCAGGCGCAGTCGGCCGGACTCATCTTCCAACATGATTTGTGTTAACTCCGGATGAGCAGGATCTTGGTAGGTCGGTCGCGGAGGTGGTGCTAACGTATAGTTCTATTGCCAGGATTAGAATGTGAGCCGTACGCAACATGGCAGTATAGTATATCACCTCTTTCGTAAGATCGTCCAAAATATTGGGCTTCAATGGCATATCCATATATATCGTTCCTGCGACCCAGCATAGTTCTCCCTGCCTCACGTCGAGGACTCTTTCCACGCGGCGCGCATTTTCTCCAGCGATCTAGTCACGAAAGCAAGACATGTCAGCAAACCAGTTTCCCATGTGCGTACTGTTAGATCTCTGAATCGAGATCTCGAAATGCGATGGATGCGACCAGTCTTACACTGAAACCTTCCCATGCTTCGACTGCAATCTCTTCAACCGCGGGCTTGAGTTTCGCCAGTCGCAAGAAGTACATGTCGCCATATTGCTGCTGGTAATGCCGATCCTGGCCGCTTCCCAGTCGAAATGTATCTAGAGAATGATAATGCGAGGGTACACGAGTGATTGCGTCAAATTCTTCATTGCTAAAGGTGCGGCATTGACGGTTAGACTTCATTTTTGATGAACTCAACAATCGAGAAGATTAACATGCGGGAGAACGGACCTGGGAGGGCGCAGGAACTCGTCGCTGCTTGCCATTCTGGCCTTAGTTTATCTAATTACACTTGAAGAGTTATATTAAGTGTAAGCTCATATGAGCGACAGCGACAACGTAATTGAGTGATGTTGTTTGATGCAGTTGGTGGTGCTGGGAGCTTTTGCCCTGTGCTTCTTCCGCCTACGCGATCACGCGTCTTTTGGCGTTGCGTAATTACAGTACCGCTTTGGGGTTCTCCACCGCTGGAAAGCAAGCAACTTGCCAATGTCCTTCACAACTCACTGAGATCAAAAGCTGTTATTTTTATGGTTCAATGGTGCCAATTCTATTTTAATGTCAATTGTGGTCTAATATGATAGAATTACTACATCATCCAATACTTTTGAACCTGCAATGGCAGATGTTCAGGCCATTGTTCAGCAAGCTAGAAATGTTCGACTGAACTCGATTTCATGATATTATTTGAAGAATTACTGCGCAACTAACTGACTCCTGCACGATGAGACCAGGGCAGTATTACCATTATAGCTGGATCGAGAATTGACTGGACTCGCGACTCCTGTGAACCTTCTGTATCCTAGTCTGCGCCTTCCGGTCTCCACTGTAAAAGAACACACTAATCGACCATGCCTGGAGAACGTAACAGAGATAGGGATATCCAGACAGTCGCCTTCGTCCAGATTATACGGGGCTTATCTTCTATACGCTTGAAGATGAGCAGAACTTGGACGGTTTGCTTCGACACTACCGGCCTGTTGAGGACTATTGTCTTGGCTGATAAGAAGGTCTTTGCACGAGACAGGAAGGCTTACGTTTTGCTTTCGTTATCGCGGACAATTTTTGCCCCAATAAAGGTGTGCTAAACCTGAAACCTGATAGATGGATGGTCTGGTCCATTTTTCGCCAGCGCGCCATCCCTTCGTTCAAGCGCTCAAGCATTCCTTCCTTCATTCTACAATCTGGATTCCCGGAAGTTTACTCCGTGGCAGCAGTGTCCTTCAATCCGACTAAAGCCGAATGACTCAAAACATCATCGGGATACCGGAAGATGAAAATTGTCAGCGAGGGATGTGGCATTGTGTGTGGCATGCCGAATGGATGGGAATGCGCCCCATCCATGTTGACGCTTTGGTCCAGTGCAATATGTATGGGCTTGGTTTCCCTGTTTGGCAGGGTTTCTTTGCTCATACTGTTTGACCCATATTCAAAGCAGCTAATTGCAGATATTTCTCGTACTCGAACAGTGGTCTTTTGTCAAAATGCGAGTCCTACTTCCTTTCGGCTACCTGCTGCGCAGATTTCTACTTGCCGGTTTGATAGCGAGCATCGTCACCTCAGCGTATCTCGACGCGTTTTTACGCGGCCTGCACTCGAACTTGTTCAGAAGGAGCCTTCCAGGATCTCTTGCAACAGCGCCTCAAGGCGCGGTAGGCTACTATCAGCCACCCCCAGGTCCTGCTGTCACTTATCCCTATCGGGTCTTAACAACTTCCGCACCATCAAATGAAGAAACGGCGGCAACGACAGTAACCGGTACGAGTATACCGACAGAAATCAAACAAGGATCA